ACATCGTTGGAATCCGACTCTGTTCCCTGCAGCTGCGCACTGGCCACGCAAGCTATAGCTTGAAATCCATCTCGTGCCATAAAAAAATTATCACAAGAAACGACCGATTTCAGTTTACGGACGCTACAAAATTTTATGCTGTTACCCTGACTTTACATTATAACAAAAAAAAAAACATAAATAATAGAGCAATAGACATTAAACAAAAAGAAACAAAACATATTAAAAAAGAAATTGTATGCATGAAGTTCCCCGTAGACCTATGTGTAGGCTTTTATTTTTCACCTTTATTCATAGTACTCATTCAGATTTTAAAAAAAAAAAAAAAAACACACGACAATGAATTTGAGCTCAAGGTATGTCAAGATTTGTTCTTCTTAAAAGTTTGGTTTATCTCAACCTCTACCTCATTGTAAAATTAACAAATCGACAGTGGTTCAGCGTGGCCTGTACTCTTATTGACAACGATTTTCGTCATCTCAGTAGTCAAAATGTTGTGGACTCAGGAGGCGCAGCCACAATATCAACGTCTAAGAAAACGATTCTTTAGGTGCGTCACACGTTACGTGACGCGTTAACGCGTGCAGCGTTGTCTGTACTCTTATCGACAACGGCAAATTGGCTAATCAGATTGTGTCACTACTGCCAATTGTGGTAAAAAAAAAAAACAAATACAAAAAAAGTGATTAGCGATCCAAAAAGGAAACAGAAAAAAGGAATCTTCTCTCTTCACAATTAATATCAAAATAAAACTGGGTGCTAGAAAGTCCCTCGGCAACCCGTAACCATTTCCTGTCACTGGTTCCCTTTCGACGCTTTCTTAAGTAGCTCCATTCCAAACTCCTTTGAGAACCTGAATATAGAAGACATTAAAAAGGGGCCTTAATTGAAATAGCTGTACACAGAGTTAAGAACAAACTGAAAGGGGGATTTGTTATACAAAGAGCACTCTTTCATTCCAAGCTAATCGAAAACACGGCTCAACATAAATTGGCGAAACAATTATCTCAGCATTATGCCTTGCTTCCCAGAGTTCACACGACGCTGGGATACTTTTTTTTATCGATTTCTGAAGATCCCTCCAGATTGCGGTGAAGAGAAAGGAACCAATAGGAGATCTGTAAGATTTTTGTATGCTAAGAGAAATTTTAAATCAACTTAGTCCCAAAGTAGTTTGGGACTAAGTTGATTTTTCTTTACTTCGCTCTGTGGTTGGACCAGAAAACTCCTGCT